GTTTGCTTTGAAAACTTTAAAACTACTGGACCGATTTCGATTCATTCGCCATTAGAACACTACATTATAGACCAGGATAGAAGCCTTTAAAAAGTGAAAAAAAATAATAATAATAATAATAGTCTTTATTTCTTCTCTCACATATACATACAAGGTTATTATGATTAAACTAAGATGATAACATTAGGAAGTGTATGTGAGAGACTGGTCTCTGTAACAGGAGACCTGAGTGACAGATAGCCAGCCTCTCCACCACCGGACCGGAACACATACAATCAGGTTATTGTCACAAGATACAATAGAAGAAAATAAGTATTAAGTGCTAAAAGAAAACATTGCAAACGGAGTCGTAATAATAAATTTGGTGTGTGTTTGTATGTGTGTGTATGTGTGTGTGTGCGCGCGTTTGTGTGTCTCTCTCTAAGTGTGTGTGTGTGCGTGGGTGTGTGTATATGTGTGGGGGAGTGGGTGTGTTACAGAATAACAGTTATTAAATCTTCTGTTTCATCATAACTCAACGTCTTCAGCCAAGTAGTAACCATTTTTTTACATTCATATTTAGATAGTGATTAAAGTTAATTTTTTCATTTAATTTATTATCCTAGGAAACCAAAGAATCTTTGCGAGAAAGAAGTTGTCCATTGTGTAATACAACAGCAAACTTTATGTTTAATCCGCTTGTTTATATTTAATTCGGGGTCGTAACTAGTTTTATAATGTTGTTTTAAAACTGTGTTGAGAATAAATAATTGACGAATTGTTAATACATCGGCTAGGGCATAAAGCTCTTTGGTGGGAAAAAGAAGCAGTAAGGAGTGACTTACTTAATAGTAGGATGAAAACCATTTGCATTTCCTTAGAAGATTTACTATATTAATATATATTAAAATCGGAAAGTAGAGATTTCAACGAACAGAAAGCACACCAACTTTTTGAAAAAAGCTGATATATTTTGACAGGTGAATTTTCGATTGAAAATTAGGGTTCTTTTTCAATATTAATTCAAAATAAGGTGAAAAAATTAATTTTTCTTTTGGTTTTGCCGGAAATCGATATAAACTGTTTTTACTCTTAAAAACTTACCCCCTTCCCGACCTCAGATCGCCCGTAAATTATTTTTATAATATTCTCCTCCTTTTCCAATGGTTTTCATCCTACTATTTTGGTTTCAAAAATTATCCACCCTGGTCCATCCCTGAACGATACAATATTTTCGAAAAAAGTTAAATTTCTGTATGAAATTACAATAGTGTGAGTGGAGTTTTTGTATCGAAGAAATCGCATGGGTCCGCCAATATACAATAACAAACACAGACATAGCAATTAGGGCTAGCGCGCACGGGTTACTTTTGTCACCGTGATTGTTTCCTCACTTATAACTTGTTATCTGTGGATATGTATGGAGATGGGTGACATTAATGTACGCCGACCAGCGAACAAGCCCGTGACGAAACTATCACCGCGCCGTTCGGTTTTCATAGCAGTGCGCGCACGAGTGACAAAGTTGTCTCTCAGCGTCGTTCGTTCGCATTTCCCTTCCGATTCTCGACTTTGGTGCACGCAATGGCGTCATCATCTACACAAAAAGTGAATATCCGAGAAGACGATATTAATAATGACATCATTATTGAAGTAGTGCTGGTCTCTTTTCCACTCTATGATAAAAAACTGAACGACTCTTTCAAATGAAAGTAGTAAGGGAAGAGATAATGCTTTCCACTTAGTATCCTGTTCCTCCAAAGGTAGGTATTCTTTTTGCTTTTTTTTCTTCTGAGATGATGAGTCAACAGAGAACGACCGTCTCTTCAAAAAACATGTGTGTGTACTTCTATACTATCTTTCGCATTATTCTACGTTTGTAGAAAAATCGACACTAACAAAAAAGGAAAAAGGTATTTAATACATTGAAAGTTTTATTATAACGCATTATCTAGTTAAATTAAGTTTATTTAAATATCACGAAATAAAATGTTTATTATAGCTAACTTCAGCGTGTCGTCGGCTTTTTTGTGACGGTGTGCGCGCGCATCGTAAAAATTTACTCTCATCATTTTTCCCTAACTACAAAGAATATAACTTGAACGTGACCACGCACGCTGTAAAGCACGCGAAACGTCGGATAAATTTAAAATTATGTTAAATAATTGTAAATTTATAATAATACATAACTTTAATCCGGTTAAAAAGTTTTTTCTTTAAATGTGTAAAGGTTATGTCAATCAAAGACAATACTAAGAATATAACTTATAATAATAAGTTCAAAAATATTTTTTCACTGTCACCCTTCGTAAGCACACTCTACTTAAGAAACATGACGTGACAATAAAAAAACTTTATTGTAACAGTGACAAAAGTAACCCGTGTGCGCTTAGTCTTAGGTAGGAATATTACAAAGCGTAATAAATAGTAAACAATGCAAGGTTGCTAAAACGACTTGTCAAAGGTCTCTATGGAGTTGCTGAAAATGTCGGCGGACATGCAATATTTGTGCAGCCGGCTTATACTTTTATCAGCCGTTTGTGTTGTTGTCTGAATATCTCAGTACAAAGTCATAAAAATCAATTACGGCTTCCACATGCGTACACGCATTGACTTAATGTCGCTATAACTTTCCACCCTTGCTCAAGGTTAGATAAAGACACGTTCACATGGCAACAAAAATATTGCGAATTTTTCGTTGATTACATTTTAAATGAGTTCGTTTGAAAAACATGTTACTGATAATAATTTAATGAACGTTCTTTTGAGTGTAATACAGGTAAATTTTACGCCATTATCATTCGAGGCCGAGGATTGGGTTTAAACAGTTTGTAGCGATTGAATAAAATTATTTATAGGGGATATGGGCGACCAAGGGCGAGTATCTGTTGCACACATCCCCGTTAACAAAGAAGTTGCTACTGAATGCTGTCTCCGACACTATCGACATCTTTTGTGTGAGTGAGGTCATAGTAGCGATATTGTATCTTATGTATTTAAATATACACTCTGAGCTATTTTGTTTGATAATTCTTTTATCGTAATATGCCGGAAAGATAAGTCCAAAACTCATTATTTGACGTGAGTAAGGCACTTAGGTTAACAATAAGCGATTGATTTTTGTTTTTATCGGTTTTTAAGTGTGTGTTCAGGGCTGGATTTAGGGGAGGGCAACCAGGGCTACAGTCCTGGGGCCCCCCACAATAGAGACCACGGAAAAAAATTGTAAATTCCGACTAGTAAACAACTTTTACTGATTTTGTTTCACCTTTGTACTAACATCATTATATTGTTCTTAAATATTAACAGAAATCAATGATTCTCAAGGGTAAAGGGCTGATAACCCAGTCGTCTATGAAGACAAATAATATATATTGTTAAAATTGGGAATATATACGGTACGAACTCGAATTATCTGCGTAATTCGCCAATGTTTCGCGTTTTAGCTAACTACAATACAATCCATTAAGATGTAGACATTTTCCGCCTTACAAAAGAGAGTTTGAGGAAATGCTGCTTTTCCTCATTTGAGGAAATGAGGAAAAGACTGAAGGACTCTGACTTTATTTAGCAGTAGTAATAAATTGTAATTTGTTTAATTTCTGTTTATCTATGTAGTTAATTGACTTATGTTTTCTGTTTCGTATATTTTGTTTATATGTTGTCTGAGTGTTTTCTTTTATAATATATGTGCAACTGTAAGATTACTTATAAATAAATACAAAAATATCAACGAATTACAGGACTTGTAGGAATTTAGACCAGTTAGTATTTTATTTTTAATATCACCTCCCTGTTCATTGGGAATGTTTGCGGCCATCGTTAGTGTTTGATTCTGACAATGTATCTGTTTAGGTTGCAAGCCGATGCCTAAATATAAGCAAAGTAAAGGTAGATTGATTTTCGTTGGTATTATTAGGGAAGGACGTCTCCTATAACGTAGTCTGACTTGACGGCCTGGAGAACAATCACTTTATTATTATTATTAAAGCTTTATTAAACCATACAACAATTGGTTAGTTTGCATTCCTTAATAGTAGTATTAGTTGTGTTACTATAAATTTATGTTAGATTTATTTTTTAGTGGTCTAGTTCTTATATGGCCCCTTTTAGGGTAAAAACCTCCTCCATATTTTTCCATTTCTCTTTATCTTAAGCAACATTCATCCAGTTTTTCCCCGTTAATTCTATAATGACATCTGTCCATCTTCTTTTGTCGTCCAATACATCTTTTTCCAGTAGGTCCAGTCCATTCTGTTATTTCCAGCGTCCATCTTCTATCTCGCGTTTTATCAATATGACCTGCCCATTTCCATTTTAGCCTTAGAGCATGTTTAAGTGCATCTGTAAGCTCTTATCTGTAAAAAGCTTACAGAACAATCACTTACTATGCTTTAAGTACTTAACATTCTTTATTTAAAGAATTTTGTAAATTCTCTTTTAAGACTCATTGGCAGTATGGTTCCAGTACAGAGGCGATAATTAGAGTTTTAAGTTGACTGGATAGCAGCGGTGACCCCAGAGCTGGTGCTTTCCTCGCTCAAATTATAAATAGAGCAATACAGAGAGGAAATGCCAGCATTTAAAGTTTAGCACAGGTACTAAACTTTTGGATAGACAAAACACTGCGCCTCATCTTCCATGTAAACAGCAGGTGGTACATGGAAGATGAGTGGAGGCACAGTGAGAGACAAAAATGGCGGGATTTGGAGGAGGCCTTTGCAAAAAAAGGGCATACAAGGCGCCATTATGTGTTGCAGAATATGTGAACTTTAGAATGTACCACCATAATATTTTTGTGTATTCTTGCAAATAAATTATTATTATTTGAATTAATGAGATGATAGAAATATATTTAAATGTATCTGAATTAAAAAGCGTATTACTATTTTACGATCAATTAATCGCAACCCGTTGTAGCCGCGCCCTTACGTTCTAGTAACGTTAAAAATACTTCACACGACATTTTCAGTGCAGTATCAATTGAAAAGTCAAAGAGTGAAGATCAAATATTGTTTGCGATGGCGAAAGTACCACTTGTAGTGTTTAGCAATGGACACACTTGCCCAATCATCGGTTTGGGTACTTGGAAGGTAATTTTGTTATTTTATTTATAATTTTATCAATAGGGAAACATGACAATATTTAATATATACTACTTGTACATATTTTTACATATCTTGATCATGATCATACCAATCAAATTTTTTTTAGTCCCAAGCTAAGCTGGTGAAGCTTGTGTTATGGGTACTAGGCAACGGCTATACATACATATTATAGATAGATAGACATATAAATACATATTTTAAACACCCAAGACCTAAGCACAACACCAAATGCTCATCACATCGATGTTCGTCTCAGCCGGGGATCGAACCCGGGACCCATGGATTCGCAGTCAGGGGTACTAACCACTAGACCAATGAGTCGTCTAAACGTCTAACCTTGTGGCAGTGTACCTTTATTAAACACTGGCAGCATTTCTTTTAAATAAACAAAATTATAATACACTAATATACAGTATTTACATACATGTATGTGACCCCAGAACTAGTGCTTTCCTTAACGAATAAGTATCGCAAGTTAAAGGTACACTGCCACAGTGACCAAAATTTTTTTTTTTATTTTTTTTTAATAAAATGAAAACAACATTATATACGAAAATGTAAACGGGAATTTATAGTAGACACAAAAGACAATACGAGCACGGAAACATCAACTTTGCAACAGTGTTATAAGAACTATAGATTTCAAGTATGTTAGTTTTATTTTGAAAGATTTTTAGACCTACGTGAACTAAAGATGTCAATACGCCACTTGCAGTTGACCCCCGGCCTTTAGCAAATAATGTCCCTTTTTAGGGGAGATAAGACACTCCCCTTCTCGGTAATATGTAAAGTCCTTTGTATTAAATGCAATTAATTAAAGTTCGGTGTTTACTTAACGTGAGAAAATATAAAGAAAATATTATACAAAGAGTATTTAAGCAACAATAAAAATTTTTAATTGAAAATTTAAAATACAAATTATACGTATGTAATTTATAATTTCATTTAATCATGTTAAATACTTTTACATACAAAACTCCAAAAAATCATGTGTGTACTTATGTACACGCGTTAGAAGTTATACCTTTTTGGCGTAACAAGATAAAATCTTTTCAAAATTTTTTATCTATGTAAAAAAAACGACACTAACAAAAGAAAAACGTATTTAATGCATTGAAAAGTTTTATTATAACGCATTATCTAGTTAAATAAAGTTTATTTAAATATCACAAAAAATACTAAAATGTTGACTGTAGCTATCTTCAGGGTGTTGTTTTTTTGTGACGGTGTGCGCGTAAAAATTTACTCTTATCATTTTTCCCTAACGCGCCAAAAGAATGAAGAACTTCAATTATATTGTTTTTTTTAATTCGTAGTACGTTTTTAATTGTGATTCTATGTGCGCATTTAACATTCGCTCGAACGGTGAAGGAAAACTTCGTGAGAAAACCGGTATGACATAGCCCCAAAGTTGACAGCGTTTGTCAGGCACAGGAGGGTGATCACCTACTTGCCTATTAGATTGACAATTGATAATGAAACAGATACAGAAATCTGAGGCCACTGATTTTTTTTTTTAATTTTATTACGAATATTAACGCAAATTTATTACATTATTGACGCACAAAGGATTTATTTAGTAGTAATTTACTCCATCTTAACTAATGAGTCACGAGTTAAAAATTCCGTTGCTAATCAGTTTTATTTCCAATTCAATTAGCAGTCAATTCGATTCAATGTCAAGTAAATTTGCATCCAAAAGCCACAAAACTGTCTTATTTAATATGTTAAGGGGCTGTTTCACAATTTATGGATAAAGTACCAAATAGCTATGCAACACATAAATTATTTGGAAGATCAATTGTGCTATTTGACACTTCATCGGACTCATAACTTATGATGGACTTTATGTGACGAATATAATCCGGTCAAATTAGACTAAAAATTAGGGGTAAGGTTACAGTAATTTGCACTTGGCTGAATATTGGTAGGATTGCTCAATACACTATTATAAAGGAAATGTGAAAAGTCCTCATCGATCCGGCGCGTGCAAAAAAATTTACTCCGGGTCAAAGATCACAAAAATGGGTTTTTCGCGATTTTCAGCAAAATGGTAAGTTTTATCATAAAATTAGTGTAGACAAAAATTGTAGATCAGATAATTATCTATAAAAAATGCCTGAATACTTTTTTTCCTAAGAGCCACCGTTTTTGAGATATCACGATTCAAAAAGTTGAAAGAGTTGTAATCGTCATAATATGTATAAGTACACCACGTATATACATCACTGAAGCCGTAATACAAGCAAAAAACTGCAAAAAGCAACTGCAAAAAGGGATAGCTAATAATAGCGCTATCTGACAGTCGTGAAACGCAACAATAGTGTTTATCCTACCAATAAGTAATAAATAGCTAATTTGGAACTCTCTATCTTAATCTACTAAGTAAGTCCGGAGCGTATAAATCAAAGAAATCATAACGAGAATTATTACGATAGAAAACGCCGTGAATCTCTTCAATGAATTGTCAAGGAAACCAAAAATTACGCGGAAATAAACACAAAAAACGTCGATAGTAAAAATAATAATAAAAACAATATAATAATAAATAATAATAAAAACAATATAATAATAAATAATAATAAAAACAATCATAATAATAAATAATAATAAAAACAATCATAATAATAAATAATAATAAAAACAATCATAATAATAAATAATAATAAAAACAATCATAATAATAAATAATAATAAAAACAATAATAATAATAAGTAAAAACGTGTGTGTACTTACTTACACGCGTTAGAAGTTATATTTCTTTGGCGTAACAAATAAAAATCTTTTTAAATTTTTTATCTTTCGCCTTATTCTACGTTTGTAGAAAAAACGACACTAACAATAGAACAAAGGTATTTAATACATTGAAAGTCTAATTAAAACGCATTATCTAGTTAGATAAAGTTTATTTAAAAAAATATTTCTACATAATTAAATAAATGGTCATTTTTGAAGTTGTACTTCTTTAGGCGCGTTATGAAAAATTGATGAGAGTGAAATTTTACGATTGCGCGCGCACCTATGACACAAAATTGGCAGTGTGATATAGCGTGCGCGAGCGAGATGGGAATAAGACAAACTACAAGTAAAAAGAAATAGAATATGCGTGAAGCTAACTTCACGCATATTCTAGCTTAGCAGCTTAACAAGAATTTTGAATGACCATGACAATTGACATCTGACAATGACATTTACCTTTTAAACAAATATAGGAGTTTTAATTATTGTTTATAATTAATAATTATATACCTAGTTATTTTCATTATACAAAATATTTGTGAAATAATATAAAATATTTGTGAAAAAACTGTGCTAACCTTCCTGAGTGCTTCAATACAATTGAGGTTAACTATCCGTATGTATTATCGAGTATTATTGTTGATTAAAACTGAAACATGAACCATTATTCATTGCTTTTGTTTATTGCGTTTGTTACAGCAACTTTTTAGAAATATTCTACGACCCTATATATCAATAATTGAGAACAAAGATTTAAGCACGAATACTAATAAGGAGAAAATGAAGGCTTGGAGCGATATAACAGAGAAGTAAACATTTTAATAAGTACCTGCATCTCAAAAAAAATGACCACATTATTTAATCAAAACATCAGATTTAATCTAGCAAATATAAGGACAAGAGACAAAAAACAATTGATGAATCAGTGGAAGTGCACTAAATTGAATACAAAAAAAGAGTTGTCATCTTATCGCCGTGAAACATCAAAAACTGGAGGTGGAACAAAGCCACCATCACCTTCTCGAGACACAATGGTTTGAAGTAGATTTCAATGAATTTGATTGTGATGGTGTCGAGGTAGGAATGTTAATTATAAATATGATGTATGGTGATGTTCAAGGTTCAACCTTTCAAGCATAGGCATATGCTTACAACATTACTTTATTCCCCTACAGGGTAGTTAGAGATATTGTAATACCTCAAAACATCCATGTTGCACTTGTAGTACCGAAACTCTGTCCTGCCAGAAGTGAGCCCATTCCCACTTATAATGGACAGTGGGTATAATACACCTTAATACCTGAGTGCGAACCACTCACCATGATACTTAAATTAATAGATGTTATTTATATATTTCAGGTTATTACAAATAAAATCATTTTGGAAACAATTGATATCCCAAAAGCAAATAAAGCCAACAATGACAAGGTAATAAATCAGTTTTGACATAACTTGAATACTAAAAAAGCCAAACAAAGGTGTGCACAACAGTGACAACATAACTTAACAATTTCATTATTTTGTAGGATTAAAGAAAGGTTAAAGAAAATCATGTCGAACTGAACAACAAGAATCCCCAAACAACTCCAAAGAAACCTACAAGGAAGACACCGGTATTATATTTAAATTATCTCTATCTCTAAATAGAATAAAAGAAAGTTGCTATCCAGGTCTGTAGCATGTGCTACAAATTATATTATTAACACATTTATATAATTATATTAATATAAATGTGTTAAAAAAATTTATAATATGAATTATAAAAAATTTTAAGTTTTGCATGGACAGAGCTTAAATTAATATTCTCTTATTTGTTGCAGAAAGCAAGTAGTTTTGGAGAAGCCTCGTAGATGCACAACCAAGTAATGATTAATTTAAAATTACAAACCGAAATTCTGATGAAGACATTAGTCACTTAAAAATAAATAGTATAATGAAATAAAAATGTTTTAAAGATAAATAGTGTTTTATTTGTTTAATGTAAGAGAATAATAATAAATATTTATTTAATTAATTTTTCAAATGTAAACTGAACTTTATTGACTTTAATGACTCCTTTTCCAGTCTTTGATTATTTAATTGTAATTAATTATTTGCATGCAATCAAAAACTATTTTTAATAATGCCAAAGAAGTATAACTTCTTACGCGCGTACATAAGTACACGCACCCTTTTTTATTTTAAAATGTTGACTATGGTAACTTAAGGGTGTCGGTTGTTTGTGACGGTGTGCGCGCGCATCGTAAACATTTACTCTCATCATTTTTCCCGAACGCGCCAAACGCTTGGCGAGCGTGTCTAGTTACTAGCGCAAGGGTGTCTCCTGCGAGACTCGGACCTAGGCTTGGGCCATCACGGGGTGGTCAAACACCTGAAGTGAGCGAAATAAGGGACCTCACCTTCCCCAGTGAAGGCGGTTTTGGAACCGCCTCGACTATACTGGCTCTGAAACAGCCCGAACAAATGTTGCTTCCTGATAAACGAGTATCTTTATGTAAATTTTACTTTTTACAATCAAGTATTCACAGTTTTCTTAATCTACAAAGTAATCATAAAAATTATTAAAAAGAAAATCAAAACAAATTTAAAAAGTTTGGCCCCTGTGGCAGTACTTTTAACGCTGGCAGCATTTCCTTGCTGTATTGCGATACTTATTCCTTGAGCGAGGAAAGCATCAGCCCTGCGATTCTGTAACTCACTTGTCGAACTCACACAGCTTGAATAACTTAGGGGACACACCACCGGATGAGACACCGAGGCATAGACAGATAACGCAGCTCTATAAGCAAGTCATCTCGTATAAACAATAAACTACAAGATCTCACCTTTTCAGAATGCCAAATCATAAAATGACTGCTTCACGACTGATTTGAGAGCGACCGCCGATGCGAAAACCACTGTGTGAGTTCGAAAAGTGAGTTACAGAATCGCAGGGCAGCTCTGGGGCCAACTTAAATTTTTAATAAGCGCCTGAGCACTTGAACCCCACGGCCCAAGAGTATATTCACCAAAGGAAACAAAATCGAAGTTGTCTTGTCCGAAGGAGAAAAATAAAACAAATATTTTGACATTTATATTTGACAGTTCATTGTGCAATTCAACCCATATGTACTAAGCAATCCCTTAATCATTTTCAGTCAAAGCCTGGTGAGGTCACGCAGGCAGTCAAGGATGCGATTGACACAGGCTACAGGCACATTGACTGCGCACACATATATGGAAATGAGAAGGAGGTGGGGGAGGCTTTAAAAGCCAAATTTGCTGATGGCACTATTAAAAGGTGAGGAATGGTAACAGACAAACAGGTCGCAGGTACTTCTTTCGGGCAGGAGGCTCACCTGATGTAAAGTGGTCCGTGGACATATTGCCGGAGGTCTCGCAAGTGCGTTGCCGGCCTTTTTAAAAGGCCGTTTCACGCGCTTTCATCCAACGAATTTTAGGTCTTTCTTGGACACAGTTAAAGTCAGAAAAGGTCATCAAAATTCCCCATATCATATACAATGCTATATCTGCAGTATATTTTACAAACTATCTTTTTATAAAATATATGGCAATTATGATAAACGACGTATATACGAGGGATTTAACGATTCCTTCACCATAGGAGTGAATGTTAATTGTGCAAAAGAAAAAAAAACTGTGTCTACGCTGCTCGTAAAATGTGAAGGTTAAAAATCGCAAACCTTATCACGTCGTTATCTTAATCGTGAGCTATCAAGGGCAATGAAATGCCATAAACCCTGATATATTAGTTTAGATAAGGATTTAAGTTTTTAATTAACAGCCTGTATTCTACAATCTGCTGCAAATCACTGCGATTACGTCATACCTTGAAACGCGCTAACGAAGTATTTCCAACTAAGCATATATACCTACAACTTCTCGGCCTTAGCCACTGCCGCCAGCGCGGGAAATCTAAGGCAGTCCCACCATGCATGACCTATGCTAACGTAATCTTCGCGCATTGTGACCCTTCGGATATCCAGCGGTTACAGGCGCTCCAATCGCGATTTCAGAATTGCGGCTGGTCACTGGTGCGTCAGGAACGATCACCAACACGACTTGGAGCTCCCTACCATAGCCCAATGGATGAATTTGGCGTTCACACGCCACTTCGACAAGGCTAAACATCAACCCAACTTGTTGGTGCGTAAAAGCATCAATGATGACCCTTTACAGACAAAAAAGAGATCCAAATGATCCAAACACAGAAGCAAATAATGGATTTAAAGGGTAAACAAACCGCTGGGAAAGTCGTGGCCCTTTTCTTTGTTCTTCGCTCACTCCAGTAAGCTTCCAGACTGCTCTTCAGGCGATTGACCCCGCGGTAGCCCAAGCAGAGGTCCGAGTCTCATAGGTGAGCGTCACCAGAGCTAGGCTCGCCGAAACGACCAGAGCTGAAGAAGGTCCTTTAAAACCTTAGCCGCTGGGGCCTTCGCGCCAGACGGTGATCGATTGGTGGTGTAATGGTGCTGGTGGTCTGTGTAATGGTGCTGGTGGTCTGTGTAATGGTGCTACAACCTTTTAGGTCTGGGTCCCAGAATTGTCTCCGTTCCGTGATCTAATAGACAAGTGCGATCACCAACTTGTTAAAAAGTGACACTGACACTTTCTTCTTTTTGGGTCTATGTCGGTTTCCTCTCGATGTTTTCCTTCACCGTATGACAGTGGTAAATTAGAGACGCGCACGTTCAAACTAGGCCAACACTGCTCAATAACTTGTGTAATACAATTTCGGTAAATACTAGGTATCCTATAGTTTTAACAACACTAAAATAGTAGGTATATTTTTATGTAGGCATATAGCCTTCCAGGTAGAGTTAAGATTCAAAATCGCCTAAGTATGATTTATTGAATTTTGACAGTTCGCGCTAAGGGTCTGTTTCACAATGTATGGATAAGTTCTACATAAGTTGTAAGATAAACACTATTGTTGCGTTTCACGACTGTCAGATAGCGCTATTTGTCACATAAAGTCCATCATAAGTTATGAGTCCTATGAATGTCAAATAGCACAATTAATCTTCCAAATAATTTATGTGTTGTATAGCTATTTGGTACTTTATCCATACATTGTGAAACAGCCCCTAAGTCTAGTATGAATCTTATATCTGGTACAGCTAAAAGGCTGGAAGGACTAAGTTTTCAGTGTTATATAACAACTAAATATTTGTGAAAAATCCTTGCGGACTTTAAGGTACTCTCGGACTTTTACGATATTATCCACAATTATATTAGTGTTAGGGGAAGGTGTGGTAGTGGGTTCAAGAAGACCATGTGGCATAATAAAACAAATTGTAAAAGATTTTTTTTAGATTTTATTCATTTAATCATATTACATACGTATAATTTGTATTTAAAATTTTCTTAACGGACGTCGAGGTGATGGATGGTTTTTTGTATTCTGCCTTGACGTCCGATGATGAGAAATGTTTGACCAGGTCAGGTTAGTTTAAAAATCGATTAACAAGAAATAATTCTATGATAAGCTTCGACATTTATACAGTAAGTTTAGTAAACGTAGCAGGTCATTTAAAATCAATACTGAACTTATTATTAAGTTAGTAGTTGAATTGAATCGATAATTGACCTAGTAACGGAAATGTTTCTTCCGCACTTTTTAATTAAATAATTTATTTCATATTTAAGAAATGGTACGCTTGACACGATTGACTTTGTATCTACGTAGTTGGTCCCAAAGTTCTGTCACTGGCACATTATTTTTAAATTACGAACATGATTTTATAAAAAAATTATTGCATTCTATTTTTGATTGTTTGACTATTGTTTTAAAACAAAAAACAATCACTTTCCGTAAATTTTCAAGATGGAGTGGACATTGAAAGAAAACCGAATAGCTGTTATTGCGTTGCACCGCTGTGGGCACTCGGCGAGTACCATTTTCAAGTTGCTCAAAAATTTAAATATAACGCTTAGGTTTGTGTACCGTACTATTGATAGGTACAATGAAGTCTCCAGTGTTGAGGACAAGAAAAGAACTGGCCGGCCACGCTCCGCAAGGACACCAGCAGTGATCAAAGCTATCAAGGCGCGGATAGCAAGAAATCCTGTCCGAAAACAGAAGTTGATGGCTTTGCAGATGGGTGTCAGTAGGAAAACAGTAAAAAAGGTTTTAAATGAAGATCTTGGTCTACGGGCATACAAAAGAAAGAGTGGGCACCTACTTAATGCTCGTCTAAAAGCAATAAGGCTTAAGAGATCGCGGGGTTTGTTAAAGCGGTACGCGAAAAACCGACACCGTGATATCCTCTTTACGGACGAAAAATTTTTCGATATTGAAGAGAAGTACAATAAACAGAATGATAGAGTGTACGCTAGGAGTTCTGAAGAAGCTGGAAATAAAGTTCCGAGGGTGCAACATGGACATCATCCATCATCAGTAATGGTCTGGTTGGGAGTGTCCTATTACGGGCCAACTGAGGTTAATTTTTGCGAAAAGGGGGTCAAAACCAGTGCAAAAGTGTATCAAGACACGGTTTTGGACCAGCTTGTCAAAGACCTGCCCAGCACGCTATTTTCGGGACATCACTTTGTGTTCCAACAGGACTCTGCGCCTGCACACAAAGCCAAGACCACTCAAACCTGGTTTGAGCGTCAAAACATCGACTTAATTAGACATGAGGATTGGCCTTCCTCCAGTCCAGACCTTAATCCTTTGGACTATAAAATTTGGCAGGTCTTAGAGAGGAAGGTCTGTGATAAACCCCATAAAAATTTGGAGTGTCTGAAGTCATCTTTAAAAAAAGCAGTCACTGAAATCGACATGAATATGGTGCGTGCTGCGATAGACGACTGGCCGCGGCGCTTAAGGGCCTGTATTAAAAATAAGGGAGGTCATTTCGAATAATTTTATGCTATTTCTATTTCTTAATTTATGTACTATTAATTGATATATCACTCATTAAAAACTGATCAGTACTTTAGTTTTTATCATTATTTCTATTTATGACAGAACTTTGGGACCGACTACCTATACATTGTGTCAAAACTTAACACATAATTTTTAAAACAGACCAAAGATATCGGACGTAGTATGCTACAGCTATGAAACACATTTCTGAAGGCTAATAAATTTAACCAAGCGACAATATATTATTTCTAAAAAGACAAAAGACTTTATATTTCATAGGAACAGTTTTATTTAATTCAATTGACGTTATTAGTATTTTTCTTAACGGAAGTTGAATGACAAACCATTTGTATTAGTGCATAATAGTATCAAGTGCTAAACAGTGAGTGAAAAAATAGAATACAAGAACAGAGCGTCTTCCCTTTAATTGAGTCTGTAAGCAGTGTTATTGGACACTTTAATTAGCTTAGACTTAAATTACTAATTAGTCTTAAGTTAGACTAAAACGTAAAGTTCCATGATGTCTTAGTAATTAACGTTTTTACATCGTTTAAACCTTCCCGGAACTTTCACAAATATTTCAAGATCATATTTAGCCAGATCGGTCCAGCCATTCTCGAGTTTAATAGAATTAATAATAATATAAAATACATATGGGAAACTATAGAGTTAGTTACCGATTCCAATAGAATATAAATGCCTTTGATTTAGCGATAAGAAAATATTATAAATGGACTATACAAATACGATCGTCATAAAAAAAAATAATTAAATTTCAGAGAGGATATATTCATTACCTCAAAACTGTGGTGCACCTACCATCGCCCTGACCTCGTGGAGGGAGCCCTGAAGACGAGCCTTACCAACCTGGGACTGGAGTATTTGGATCTGTATTTGATGCACTGGCCGCAGGCTTTCAAGGTATTTTAGTTAAAAATAATAAGAACGTCCTTCCGTTTCCCGCGTCTGAGTATCATATCTTGTTCCACTTCCACCACCTTACACTGCAACTTGCAGTAGCGATTCTGACTAATAAGATATTGTTCTCAAAGTTGCGTCTCTACGGACATTGAGATAACTAGATCGAAACTGTATAAAAAAAGGGTGCGTGTACTTATGTACGAGCGTAAGAAGTTATACTTCTTTGGCAATATTAAAAATAGTTTTTGATTGCATGCAAATAATTAATTACAATAAAATAATCAAAGACTGGAAAAGGAGTCATTATAGTTAATAAAGTTCAGTTTACATTAGAAAAATTAAATAAATAAATATTTATTATTATTCTCTAACATTAAGTGTAACATAAATTCTATTATTATTCGAATGTTGTTTTTAAATTATGTCCAATGCTGTAAAAAAAATTTTTTTATTTTTTTTTGAAGTTATACTTCTTTAGGCGCGTTATAAAAATTTATGAGAGTGAAATTTTACGATGCGCGCGCACCGTGACACAAAATTATCAGTATGGGCGCCGAGCGTGCGCGAGCGAGATGGGTATAAGACAATCTACAAGTAAAAAGAAATAGAATATGCGTGACGTTAGCAGCTATGCCAATAATTTTGAATGACCATAATGACATTTGTAGTACCTTTTAAACAAATAAGTTTAATTATTTTTTCAAAGTAATTTAGCAATGCTTTTTCACAAAGACCTATTGTTACTTAGTTAAAAGGTTATGAAACCTACCTAGTTATTAAATTGAATTAATAATGTAATAAATAATAATTATTATTAATATTAATTAATAATTGAATAATATACTAAATATTAAATATTGTTAAATTATTAACGCTAAATATTTATTATTAATAATTTAATATTTAAAAAAATAAAGAAAGCCAAAGAAGTATAACTTCTTACGCGCGTACATAAGACGTAACACGCACCATTTTTTAAGTTTAGTTTGACTTTAAAAAGTGCCTTTTAATAGGCCTAATTGAAATAAATGATTTGACTTGATTAACAATTTTAACTAGTCCTTTCTAAATTGTGTTTATATTGTCAATATATAACTTTACCATTGCATACAAACAAAACATATTTTGAGTCCAAGGATGTGCTTACAATATAACTTCAATAGGTTTAAATGAATCAATATTAGTTTATACTTGACAAACAACACACAAAGAAACCTAATGAGGTCTGGAAAATATGATTTAATTTTATTTAATAACATAATGGAGTTGTTAAAGAAAATTGTCATAATTAAAAGAGCGAAACAAGTTTAAACCCGTTTAACACATAGGCTAAATGGGACTGAATAGTGCTCACCCCAGAATAGTCTAGTGCCCATCCCAAAATGGTCTAGGGCCCATCCCAGAATGGTATAGGGTCCGCCCCAGAATCATCTCTGGTGGCCATCTCACAATGGTGTAGTGGCCGCCCTAGAGTGGTCTATGGTGACCATCCCAAAATGGTGTAGGGTCCGCCCCAGAATGTTGTAGTGCCCGCCCTAGAATCGTCTCTTGTGGCCATCCCACAATGGTGTAGTGACCGCCCTAGAGTGGTCTCTGGTGGCCATTCCAGAATGGTGTAGGGTCCACCCCAGAATATTGTAGTACCCGCCCTAGATTCGTCTCTTGCGGCAATCCCAGAATGGTGTAGTGACCGCCCTAGAGTGATCTCTGGTGACCATCCCAAAATGGTGTAGGGTCCGCCCCAGAATGTTGTAGTGCCCGCCCTAGAATCGTCTCTTGTGGCCATCCCACAATGGTATAGTGGCCGCCCTAGAGTGGTCTTTGGTGGCCATTCCAGAATGGTGTAGGGTCCGCCCCAGAATGTTGTAGTATCCTCCCTAGATTCGTCTCTTGTGGCCATCCCAGAATGGTGTAGTGGCCGCCCTAGAGTGGTCTCTGGTGACCATCCCAAAATGGTGTAGGGTCCGCCCCAGAATGTTGTAGTGCCCGCCCTAGAATCGTCTCTTGTGGCCATCCCACAATGGTGTAGTGACCGCCCTAGAGTGGTCTCTGGTGGCCATTCCAGAATGGTGTAGGGTCCACCCCAGAATATTGTAGTACCCGCCCTAGATTCGTCTCTTGTGGCCATCCCAGAATGGTGTAGTGACCGCCCTAGAGTGATCTCTGGTGACCATCCCAAAATGGTGTAGGGTCCGCCCCAGAATGTTGTAGTGCCCGCCCTAGAATCGTCTCTTGTGGCCATCCCACAATGGTGTAGCGACCGCCCTAGAGTGGTCTCTGGTGGCCATCCCAGAATGGTGTAGACGGTCGTTGCATTACGAGATCTATCAGATCTCTTTTAGGACTCTTGTATTGTGCGTTCAACATAATCGTGTTTTTTCACTCCTTGCGGGAGGATGTAACTTGTAAAGTTCTTTAAGGATGAGCAGGACAAATATATATATATATTTGCTTCCTACTTAAAGCTGAATAAAAGGACATTAAAAAATGAATTAGGGATGGATTAGGTCCCTAATGCACAGTACTAAAAAGAGTCACGCAGCGCCCGCGTCGCCCATCCTCCCTCTCTACCGTCTACGAGGCGTACGATTTTACGAGTACCGACATATCTCCTAACGCAAGAAATTAAAATAATTACCATGTTTAAATGAAAAACATTTTGCATAATTAATAAAACTTTTAGAATCGATAACTGAGATATTATTTTATTCCCATCACTACTTACTACACATATTGAACTATCTTCGGGTGCGGTACGAGATACAATCGATATCTAATTTTTTTTGGTATTTGTAGTTTATTCAAATGTCGTAACTGCGTGCGAACCGAGCAAAATATAAAGCAATAAGCTATCTGTCACCCACAAAACTTCAAAATATATGTCATTGTTTTTTTGGAAGATATAAATTATTTTCAAAACTGTATGTTTAGGAGACAGATTAGATTGTGCTGCAGAAGCGGGCTGTTCGGGGTATTTGTTGTGTTTCTCCGAGGGAGTCGGTACGGAATAAGTTTAAGGAATTAAATATTATGACACTATCTGGTCAATATATTCTTGAAGCCTTGTTGTATGTCCAAAAAAATATAAACGATTTTAAAACAAATGGTATAGTACGCACTAGCTTGAGTGTACGACCAGCCAGGCTCCAGAAGATAAACCACTCCTTATATGGAAATTGTATTCGTTTTTACAACAAACTCCCAAGCGAAATTAGAGTATTATCACTAAATAAATTCAAAGCCCTCGTTAAACGAAAATTAATCAACAAAGCTTTTTATAAATTTGAGGACTACTTAAATGATCCTAATCCTTGGGATTGAATTGCTCCAGTTCAAACAATTTGTATGACAATACTTGGCGATTAAAAAGAGTGGCGGAAAGTTTCTTGCCAGTTCTTCTTACCCGCTCTACGCCCTTGACTTACGAACTGGTAGTAAATGTAAATTAACAATTAATTTAACTTGACAATTCAAAAGTGTACTTGGTTACCCACTTGAATATAAAAAATAAAAAAAAGATCTCTAACGCACTAAAGGATAGGCTTGTTACGAGATCTTTTAGGTCTCCAAAGAACCAGCTGAAAGTTCTTTGAAAATGATGGCGCAGTGAACGTGTTAAAAGGGCCTCAAAAATGTGTTTTGTACCAGCTCCAACATCACCTTATACTTAATCTCATGGGGAGCCCAATTCGCGGAATTGCTCCAAATTACTTCTCACCAGCGCATCATATAAGACTCTCACAGTAGTGACATTCGTGAATCCTTTGCTTGTCTCAGTACAAAACCAAGTTTTTCATAAGAATTTAGACAAATCCGTGATGTGTTGTTCCATCTCCGAAATAATAGAAACGCTGATGATTTAACCTCTATTTTATTGTAAAAATTTTGAAATACCATATTTCTTCTTTTCCAGGAAGAGACAGACGAATTTCCAACAGATAAGGATGACAAAGTCATTCCCTCGACTGTAGATTACGTGGACACGTATAAAGCCATGGAGACCCTAGTAGACAAGGGCCTGGTGAGGAGCATCGGTGTCTCCAACTTTAATAAGAAGCAGCTGGACAGGGTTTTGGAAGCTTCCAGAATCAAGCCCGCGGTACAACAGGTATATAACTATTTCAATACCACGTCTACTGTGGATTGAGAAAACCAATGTGAAAAGGAAATATTATACGACTGTATTCAGAGATAGAAAGTAGAAACATGCTTATCCGAGACCTTAAGTGTCCAAGGGTTTTGATATTGTCTACGATAGATTTTTTAAATCGGACACTATCGAAAAAAAAAATAAAACGTGTAGCACTCGGAGACTGCCGCGGTAAAGCATAGCATTTTTTATCAACCTATGCAATTATGATTATTTATTTATTTTTTATTTATGCAGTATGTTTTTTTCTTTGATATTAATTAATCTACCACTCTACCAGACTCAGACTAACACGCCTATATATTCTGTCTCACTCTAACGCGTCCCGGCTGCACCGGCCGCGCTTACGCTACGTCACCGATCTCGTCGAAGAGATGTGAATAAGCAGTATGCGTTCTGTCCTACTCTAACGCGCTATTAGCCGCACCTATATTAGGTCATCGTGTGTTAGGTTTTTATAGTTTTGGCATTGTAGTATAATCTTAAAGGGGTCGATCGTTTACCGTATGATCAAATTAAGACAATTATGGGTCTCAAGATCCAGGGCATTAGGCCCTACAAGCTGATAGAGTGGTGTGGAGGCTGCAAGTCGACGTATAAGTTTGGGCAAGGCAGTCACGACTTGCAGTTATGAAGACTCAGTAGAAGAATAGAAATATCTTATTTTCTATACTATTTGAATAGAAACTCAGATGGTTTGAATTTAAAACCTCACCGATTATATATATTTTATTTTAGATCGAATGCCACCCGTATCTTAATCAGCAAAAGATGTTTGACTATTGCAAGTCCCATGGTATCGTAGTTACTGCGTACTCTCCTCTCGGATCCCCTGATAGACCCTGGGCGAAGCCCGGAGATCCCTCCCTCATGGATGACCAGCGATTGAAGTCCATCGCTGACAGATACAACAAGAGTGTACCACAGATTTTGATAAGGTCAGTGAATCGTTCTCATTTATTTATTTATAAATACTAATCTACTAATTGCAACCAGAGTTTCGGCAAATCTATTAAACTGGAACTGTTTTCTATAAAATTATCTTCATTGATTGGCCTCTTCATGGCATATGTAATGATGGATATCATTACCATGGTAATATGGTTCAATGAACATAATTTAGATCGTAAAATAATAATAGTGTAAAGCTTGCCAACGGACTGTGAAATGTGTATTTAAATTTTAATGTAATAAATGCAGGAGTATCTGTATAGGTACATGTACCTAGTGTATGTATTAGCAAGCTGCACTAGATAGAGAATAGTTTTTTAATTACGTTCATAAGTGTTTGATGTGCTATAACATATAATAGAAAAAACAGCGCCTTGTTGTGATTTAAAACATAACAATTGTTGATAAAATCGTAGATAATAGTTACATTGTTCACCGATAGAGGCGCTGGTAACATTATTTTGGCACAGATTATATTAAGAATCTGTGGTTCTTTTTATTTATGATATTATAGTAAATTTTTAATTTCATGAAATAATCATTCTACTGTCGGGCTACGCCTTATTATGGAGTGTCTCTATGTATATATATATATATATACATTAATTAACAAACAAATATGGTGGCGCGGGGCATATTCCGTTCAACCAATTAGCGCGTGAGGTGCGATCCGTTTCACAATTTGACGGTTTCACTTCGATAGATTACAATCTACCGAATAATAATACGTTAAATTGTAAGCAGTTCGTTGAGGTTCACAATCTTTCGACAGTTTACAATCTCGCGAGATAGATTACAATCGAACGGTGTTTACAATTATACGGTGATATATACATTTTTCAATGTTACGAGTTAATCTTCGTGTCCTAACCAAAAATTTTATTACAGATACGCAATCGACCGTCCAATGATAGTAATCCCAAAGTCGGTTACGAAAAGCCGTATTGAACAGAACTTCAACGTTTTCGACTTCCAGCTGTCTCCTGAAGACCTTAAGCTGATCGCCACCTTTGAATGTAACGGGCGTCTTTGCACTATGGGAGAGTAAGTATCCGAAACAAGAACATAAATACGCCAAGCCATTATAATATTATTATTAATTAAAATCGGATATAATAACTGTTACTATATAATTCATGTTAATTTTCAGCACCCACCACCCGGACTACCCATTCCATGATGAATTTTAGTTGCACCACAGATAAAGCTTATTCCTACAACGAACGCATTAGCACGACTAGCATTTGCATACGTCAATGCGATATGTCAGGTTGACAGCCCGCCACTTTTGAATTCTACACAAATTATATTCTGTATATTTCTAATTCTAGGCACATTAAGAATTCTGAAAACTATATAAAATTTTCGCTTTTCATAATTTTTTCTTCTAATAGCTATTTAATTTTACTTATAGCGATAATACTTTGTAATGCGTGCTTACAATATCTATTAAAATGTATATAAGCCGTGATAGTAATAACTCAAGAACGGGTGAACCGATTTGGCTGAAAATTGGTGGGGAGGTAGCTTAGAACCAGGAGACGGACTTTGGATTTCCGTGGGACGTGACATAAAACGTGGTACAACAAAACGCAACTGACAGCTAAACATAATGTTATCTATGGTCAAGTATGATTGAAAATTTTTCATTGAGAAGTTTTGAAGTTTATCGGTTGATGTGTTATTAATTATTTCGAGTTTCTTTATCGTGCCGATATTATCATTAACAATGCCACGATCAAGACGGTCAAATCTTTCCCGACCAAACCGTAATTTTATTATTTACAATTAGGTGTTTTTGTTTGTTTTTTAAAGTTTGAAATGTTGTATTTAAGACCTTCACACGTGATCACGTGACCTTTCAAGTTCTATTGGCGTTGGTTTTGCATTTAGTGAACGACTGCAGTGTCTTATATTTGTCATTTAACTAATTTTAATTATAAGCTTACGAGTTTAAATAAATTTAAATCGTATTGTTTTATTTTATTTATTATAAACACTTTCCGAATACACTCATCCCTCCTATAACACGGTAAATTGGTTCCGCGTTGTTGGAGCATTCTCGCATAACGCGCCGAATGACACCATTTAACGCGTTTTATACAAATGATTAACGTTTAACTTTTTCGTTAAAGGGGATTTAAAACTAATAATAAGAAAACTAAACAAGTCATTATAATTAATGTCATGTGCAACCCCGCGTTTTATGGTGGAATAACCGTGTTATACAAGGGACATACACAGGTTAACGAAACAGCAGATACCGACAGAAATGGCGGAATTTGGCGAAGACCTTTGCCAAAAAAGATCATACAGATATCTAGAAATAATGAGTCGATAATAATATAAATGTAAACTATTTTATTTATTATTGAGACGCGTATGTCAAAAACAAATACTTTTTGGCGTACGGAAGTGATACTTAACGCAACGTTTTCCATACATCAGCGTAAACGCTGGCAATATTGGGGTAATAAAACACACAAATAGAAAAAGAATATATTTACAAATTCTCGGTACAATTCACTCTAAAAATACTGGAGTATTTATACACTTATAAGTAGTAACATTTTGGTGGATTCTTAATAATAATTATTGTGATGTATGCCTACGAATATTTTTCGTACACCATAGGGCGGTTACAGACTAGCGTATTTTTCTGCGCGTATACGGTCGTTTCAGCATACGCGCTTTAAAAAAAACCGGACGCGCGTACTGGCATATTTCGGCGTGTTCGTTCGAACCGATAGTAGCGTCGTGTCGGTATCAACATGGATTCAGACGAAGAAACATTACTATTTCCGTTACTTATGCGCCATCGACGGAGATGACGTAAGATGCTGGGTGTCAACGATGGTTGCATCTAGACAGAGAATCGTTCACTTTAATACACTTTACCCAGAACTACGGACTTATATGAGCTTAAAAGCGCGTCAACGCTCGTACGAGTAGCGCGTGTGCCAAAAGGCGCGCCTATACGTGCCTACATGCGCTTCGCAAGACGAGCTTATACGCGCGAAAAAACGCTATTTTGTAACCGCCCTTAGATCCAGCAGCCAAGCAATACTCCAGAGCTGCCTTCAAATATAAATAAAAAGGTACTAATATTGATTTACATGTTAAACAAATTTCTGTTTAGGAAATTTTCATTGTTCTGTGAGGTAACCACTTATATAACTCTTAGTTATTAAATTACGCTTTAAATTATTTCAAATAAGATTACTATGACGTATAGAAAAGGAAATTTGCAGCGACCACAGATTGATTCGCTTTCCGCACAGATTAGCGCATATTACGCGGGAAACATTACAAAAATATAACTAGAATAAGACCATAAACTTTGTTTCGCGCCTTTTCTATCTTTGATAATCAGCGTTGACAAGCGAAATATCTTCAATTTGACACTTGACAACTGTGCGCACGAAATCAGAAACGAGTTTGAAGTGTCATAATATGTCAAAAACGTATTCGAATTAGATATTTGGACGCTATTGCTATTCTTCATATGAATATACATGCCTCTTTTCATCATAGTACAAACACAATTTGACAGAAAGAGACAAAGTTTAGTTAAATGCAATTAGACTGTTTATAAAAAATGTAGTTGCATTCACTTAATTTATAGATAAGGGAGCGTTCAAGTATTACGTCACGCGACTTTTGGAGATTATTGACACCCCCCCATGTAACGCGCCGTAACGTTTTTCTGTACCCAATAGTAAAACGTTTCGTGACCACCCAGTGTCTCTTTATACATAAAAGTTACCATTATGTGGTGTAATTCAATCCCCGCCCCGCATCGTAACGTTTTATAAAAGAAACCTGCCCCCCCCAACTCGTTACGTAATACTTGAACGATCCCTAAGGTGATGAACATTTCTTTTTTGAGAAAGGTAAACTTAAAGCTATGTATGTCAAAATTAAATACATTTTTGACATACAGAAATCAAACTTAGTTTGATCTTGAACCTAGTCTGTATCTTGCACCTTACATATACAGAAATTAGTGAATTAATTTGGTGCGTTCCCGGTGGTTTGAACGCACTACCTTAAGGTCAAACTACATATTACTTTTATTATTAAGCTCCGATATACCAAAACTATACAAACGTAAGTATCTAAATTGGATTTATAAATAACAAATTTGCCTACTACAAATGGTGGTTTCGTTATTAAATATAAATGATTGTTATATACAAATAGCTAATTACGAATCAAGGACAATTTTTGAACCAATAGAAACTAAATATCTATATTGCTTCTGTGGCCAACATAAAATTGAAATAGTACTCGCTTCAAATCTATAATCTCGTATAACGCCTTTAGTACACCTACGCAATCGCATGCGGCAGCGAAACGACGAAAAAACTGTAAGTTGTATGGCAACGTTTCGCATGTGTTTTGTCTCGCTCTAATATATAGCTAGATGAAATAGTTGCGTCCTTGTCGGTATTGTTTCGCAAGTAACTGCGAAATGGCTGTTACACAGACGCAGCCGTTTCGCTAGCGGAGTTTCGCATCGCAATGCGTCACCACGCGTTCTGTCGGTGAGGACAGAATTTCGCACAATGGAAGCCGAAAATATTGAATTATTATTGAATTTGATTCGAAATTATCCCGAATTATATTTAGTTGGGCTACGATCTTCAGGTGATTGAAGTTCTAAGCATAGCTTATTTTCTCCGAGTTTTCTTCGTTTCTGATTTATTTAATGCACCCATATTCTACGCTTTCTCTTTAATACCGACGCCAGCAACAACAATTCTTCCTCTTCAGAATCTGAAAGCGACGACTGGGACGACTCAGATGACATTCTGAAACGACGTCTGCACCTACAGCCCACGAAAGCTACAATGACATTTCCTTGCGAAAAAACTGCAGTGTACCTACTAACGTTCCGCAGATATTTCGCTACCGCAATTATTTCGCAAAGACTCGCAGCCGCATACGAACGCGTAGGTGTACTAATGGCGTAACGATGTTAATCAAATTCGAAATTTAAAAAGGAATCGATAAAAACATGCACAGATTACAGTAATATTTTTTTGTTTATGGAACTGGCCATTAAGAAAAAGAAACTTAATTTCATTTCGCGGTAGGATGACATTTACAGTAGTTGGCCACAGATTAAGGGACGCTATTATCCTCAGGGACCAACTCCCCGCGTCACTTTACGAATTGCCCCAACGCCCCTTTATTGGGAAATTTACAGACTTTTACGTCTAACGTAAATGCCCATTGCTTAGGCACTCACTTACATTTGAAAATACAGCCCATAAATACAAGTGCAATTTGTTTCATAAGGGATCGTTCAAGTATTACGTCACGCAATTTTTGGAGATTATTCAAACCCCCCCCATGTAACGCGCCGTAACGTTATTCGTGACCACCCAGTGTCTCTTTATACCGAAAAGTTACCATTATGTGGTGCAGTAGTGGAATGTCGAATATATTAATAATAACGCGTAATTTAATCCCCGCCCCGCTTCGTAACGTTTTACAAAAGGACCCCCAAAATTACGTATTAATACTTAAACGCTCCCTTATATGATCAGCGCTGTGGACGTTTTTGGAACTAAACGTAACCATAGACTAGTTTCGTCACTTGCCCCGGCGAACAATATCGTAAAAGCAAAGTCTATTTTATTGAGAAAAATTAAAAGAAGGTTATGCTATTTTTACTGGGATACTAAGTATATTACAAATAAAATATCTAAAATATATAAATATCAAATGAAACTTTTTCTTCCTATTCGACGATTTAAACATTGTTATGTAAGTGTAAACAGTTAAAAAATAACTTACATTACAGTAATTCATCTAATTAGACTGAAGAGCAAAAGTGTGTTTCACTGTTTAAACATAATTACAGTCGATACAGTAACCGTACATTACGACGGTAATTTTGACGAATGTCTAGAACGTAATAATTTGTTACCACGATGAAACACATATATTACCACTCTTTATTTGTTTTTAAACTGTCGCATTAACTTTTGGGTATAATTATAATCTAAACTAAAACTATATTTATGGTAATTGCGATCTATTTTAGGGGAGGTAAAATTACGTAAACGAGTATTACTAACATTGTGCACAAAATAATTTCTGTAGAATTAAGACATTCTTGTGTTTTTATCATAAAATGTTTAGCAAAAATTCTGAAAAATACAGTTATAGTACACCACCCAAAGAAGTCAAAAATGAGAAAACATTAAAACCATAATAGTGCTTTACGACTTTGTTCGGGCAAGCGAAGAATTCGTATACTTTAACAACTTCAGTTTTCGACAGTGAGATGCCAAAATTTCTCGTAGTTGAAAATTCAAAATGTCCCCCCCCCCTCCTCAATAAAACAAACTCAATCTAATACATAATACTGTTATATTTTGGTTGTGATGTGCAACTTAAATCATAAGCCTACGGCCATCCGTCGAATATGGCAACCGGGAATTGCGTTTCAAACAATTGAAAAACCCAAGTTCAATTATAAGAAATAATGCATACTATATCTAGACTTACGGCTACTAAATGCATTAAATTCATACAAAAATACTGATTTATTTTGTACCATTAGATTATATATACAAACAATGAGTATTTAACCGAAAAATATGATTGGAATGTAAAGGCACACGCTTCCATAAAAATCTCCCAAAATATATACAATCTACCAAACGTTGGCAACACTAATTACTAAGGCTTCACGTTACGATTGCCAAAAAGCAAGAGGTTTACAATTTTAAGCGTATAATTTCCAATCTAACAAGAATTTTGTAATATACACTCCATTACAATACAATTTATTAATACAGTATAATCTCTTTATAACGAATTTCAAGATCTTTTTCGTTATAGAGAAGGGAGAGAAATAACACAAATTTAACCAATTACAATAACCTATATATCTAATAGATAGGTGACGATGGTGCGTTTAGTAACTGAGACCAAAATTCCCCACAGGTAATGTATTCTAAAGGTGGGAACTGACCAAAGTTACGAGGTGTAATGTAGCATTCGCAACGTGTTACGCATAGAGCATGTTACGCTGTGTTTTAAAATCGGCGTAACATGCTCGTCAAAACTCTGTGCTCCGCTTTCGCCGCTAGTGTTAACAAGATGGCCGACAGCGAGGACGCGTTGGTATCTTTGATTCTACTTAATTATTGTGTCATCCAAATTAAGAAGAAGAAAAGACGTTACTGGACATCAAACTTACTTAAAAACAGAGGCGTATGTGGTGGTTTGTCATTGATAGCAATTTAAAAAAATCAAATGATTACTGGACGGTATAAAAACTTTGTACGCATGCCTCGATTCTGAAGAACTGTTGAATATAATTGGACCAAAAGTACTTAAAAAAGACACAATTTATAGAAAATCATAATCATGATCACTCTCGACGTGCGCCGCGTACTGACTGAACCACGTACAGTCAAAGGATTCGCCAAAAAACCGACAGCCGGGTGGAGCACTCAAAGCGAGCAACGAGCGGCTCGTTGCTCGCTGGTTTCCCCGTAACACGACGTACTGACTGCACGAATGCTCGCTGTGTAACGTGTTACAATACACCTCGTAACTTTGGTCAGTTCCCACCTTTAGAATAATGGCACACGTGTTAATGCAATTAACAATAACAAAGGCGAGACGGCTGTCTTTCTTAGAGATTTCCAAAAAAATTACAGTGTACTACGTATAAAATACCAAAATTAAATAAAATTCTATTGGCATGGAGCGTATCATAGACGTACTGAGTAGAAAAACTAGTTTAAATTAATTCAACGTTCAAGTATTACGTATCGAAAATGGAGTGGGGGGAGATTAGGATGTAAGAGGGGGATATGGGGAGGGGATGGGGGGGAAGGGTCTTGTAAAACGTTACGATAAGGTGTAGGTAGCGTTATTTTTAATAATATTAACCCGATTACTTTACGCCATATTGTGTCACTTGGTTAGAAAAAATTGCGTTAAATAATACTTGAACGCTTAAAAAATCATATAAAAAGTTATAAGGACCACGATTTACACATTTCATCGTTTTTAACGAGTATATCGAAATAAAAATTATTATGGTGGAAGGTAAGTAATTTATCGAAATGTTAAAATATATTTAAACTGATTTATGTAATACATAGACTTTCCTCTCATTTCAAATACGTATACGGGAGTCGTACTTAGCTAAGTCTCGACTCTGAACCGGACCTTAATGAACAGCGAAACAGTCATTACAGTCAAACAGTAATGCCAACTCTTACAGAATGTATTAAATATCTATTAAAATCCCCTAAAGTATTCGTTGTACACTTGTTTAGTGGTAATTTCAAATATACATTTAAAAATAGCTGTTATTACGATTTAGGAGTATTATAGTTTTTTTTATATTTCAGTTATAGCTACGATTGGAGTATATATTTGGTTTAGTTTGTTTGAGTTCTGGGCTTAATATAAATTGTATAGAATCGAGCGTTTAAAAAAAATGGTCGAATGTACCCCCTAGAAATTTGTTTTCCCCTTAATTTGGGGGGAAAACTCCCAAGTTGGCATCACTGCAGTCAAATGTATAAAACAAAAAATCTGTATGATACATTGATGTCATTTGACTTTTATTCATTATACATTTTATAAAAATTTAAACTAATGAATTTATAATAATATTAGTTACTTTTAAACCGTCAAAAGCATTTCAATTGTATGATCGGCTTTTAATTTAAAATAATAAAATGTATACACAATGCCAAAAACAACTTTAAAAATAATTGTTGTCTAAAATTTTCAATAATTCATTCAGATAGGGTCTTTTAGGTTGACACATTAAAATTACACATAATATAGCTATTCACTTAATATAGAAAATACTAAAGTATACGTGGAAAAAAATCGATTTGTTTAAGAACTTATATAAAATGTATAACTAGACAAATTATATAAAATGTATAACTAAAATTTTTATAATACAACTTATACACTTAGCTGTTCGGTTGATAATCCGCCCATGTGCCGAACCAGTTATAATTAAACATGGCGGCGTAGGGATGTTTTCTTTTCTTGTGAAGTCTTAAGGATTCTTCAGAAGCATACCAGTACTGTGGGAATTTATCGAAAGGATATTTCACCGGCTCTTTAACGAAGGGCTCGGATGTTTCATCTGTAACGATAATCAAAAAAATTAATAAAATAGCTACATATTAACATTTCGTCTTGCTGTCAAGTGTCAAACTTCATAGATAAAATTGACAGCTCTTGAAAAAAGAATTCAGTTCGATATTCTATAGTAGAATGTAAAACTTGGTCACAAATTTCTGTATCTGTATATTAATGCATTTTAATTTTATGAATTTGTTTAACGCATTTGTTGCTGTTATTATATACATAGATAAAAATGAGGTAAAGGTATGATCAAAATTTATTTATTCATAATGGTACACTTATGAACTTATTTTAAAAAAAAGGGTGCGTGTACCTTTGTACGCGCGTAAGAAGTTATACTTCTTTGGCTTTCTTTATTTTTTTTAAATATAATTAATTATATTGTGAAAAAGCATTGCTAAATTTCTTTGAAAAAATAATTAAAACTCCTTTATTTGTTTAAAAGGTAAATGTCATTATGGTCATTCAAAATTCTTGGCATAGCTGCTAACTTCACGCATATTCTATTTCTTTTACTTGTAGATTGTCTTATTCCCATCTCGCTCGCGCACGCTATAATCACACTGGCAACTTTGTGTCTCAGGTGCGCGCGCATCGTAAAATTTCACTCTCATAAATTTTTCATAACGCGCCTAAAGAAGTATAACTTCAAAAATAAGATAATAAATAAATGGAATACAATTAAAGGCAGACTGTTTTTTGAATAACTTTGATCATATTAAAGATGCTATCATCAAAGGATTTCAATCAGTTTTTGCCGCTATGTGATACCAGCTACTGAAGTATTTCCGAAAGCCTTCTTGCAATGAGTGTCTATGGGCGGCGATATCTAAGTGATATCATCAGGTGTGCCTCCTGTCCGTTTGTTATATATAAAAAAACATCTATCATGAATTTGACAGCATTAAATCCATATGCGGGTATACAAATATGGATTTAATATTTATAATTATTATAAATAAACAATTATAAATTTATTAATAAGTAAAATAACAAATACATACAATTATGTGTATATGTGTTACATAACCTCTAAAACTAACAATCAATGTTTTATAATTTTTTTAATACAAAAAATTGCCACAGATTGTGCGGCTATAAACCAAAAAGTTTTGATGTAAGTAAGTCGTTATACAAATACTTTTTAACACAATAACCGGGGAATGTCAGACACAATATTTTTTTTATAAATATTACTTACTTGGTGGTAAACAATAGAGACAGAATATCCTATGTTTCCTGCTGGCGTGTGTTTCCAAATGTTTCTTGTGCTGCTTCCGCCGCAGCGACACATGAGGACAACAAGGGCACGGTATGGCGAGGTCTTTTGGCACAGAGCCGTGTCGTTCTGCCGCGTGACTGACGAGAGTCGATGCCACTCGATAGCCCTGGAAATTTGTAAAATCCTTTATTACATAGACAGACATGGACATATCATTTAATACAAACAAAAACACACACACATAAACACACAAAATAGCAATAATCAAAGAGAAAAAATTAAATAAAAGATATGGGAGATATATTGTATGATGATTTGCTGTTTTAAAAGAGTACCAAGAGTCTTTAACGCCGGCTTTTTCTCTCTGCCTACACCCTCTGTCTTCTTTGCCGATGAGTAGGGATGCCTTCAAATTTAATGACGTGGAATAAGTGATACATGTATCTTATGTTCCATAAGAAACATATTTTTTTTTTTATTAAAAAAAAAATCCTTTTCCCATTCGGTTCGTCTCAACTCTCAAGTATGTAATGCGTGTGTGCTGTGGCTGTAATATTGGCCCTGGCTCAGCATTATGCTGAGGAGCAGAATGTTCCACAGCGCTGATCATTCTGCCAGAGACCACATCAGCTAGTTTGCACCTCAGTCGCAAAAAAAAAGAATATATTAACACTTAGTAGAAAATAATAATAATACATATTAGTAAAAGTAATGAAGTGTGATGTGGTGTGAAGTATATAAAATAAAATTAAAAGTTAAAAATAAAAATAATTGTTAAGAATTAGATAAATTTTTTTGGGCGTATTAAAAATTAGATTTCGTGGGATTTTTGTTGAGTTAGTAGATTAATACAGTGTAAAGTCCCTCGATTTAACTGCAAACCCCCTAAAGCGTCGAATTCAATTGGCTTTTGTTGACAATGATACACTCTACATAACTTTACACTCTCAATACCGACAACAATCGAGTAATAAAGTACTTTTTAAGTTGCTAAAATGAGTAAAAACTGCGCAGCTGTGTACGTTATTTTGTCGCTCTACTGTCCTAGCCCGCAATAAACTCGACTGTCAGCATCACGCATACCGAACTTTCTAAGAAATTCGTTGTGAAAAGCTTAAACTAATATTCATCACCAGCCTTAGGGAAAGATCTATAGAGCGTACTTAGACTTCGCTCAAGCTTTACTTACGAAAAACTTTGCTTAGTGTACACTATAAAGCATTAACTATGATTTCGTATTTATAGACATCTTAACGGTGAGATTAAGCTAAGCACAAGCTAAGACAGAAAATTACAAAATACAAATTGATGTTTCATTTCATGGAATACCTTCTGTATTGTCCTTTAAAAAAGTATAACAATAACAAATATTTAAACGTCTAAAACGGTACACATCTATCTTCTATTTATTGCTTTAGTTATATTTTGAATTTTGTTGTTGCTTGTCAATGTCAACATATCCAGTGCTGCCAGGTGACAGATACAATATCACACCAGTTATTTTTAAGATCTCTCAAAAATGGGGTTTGAACACTTATATAAATAATAAATACCATAATAATGTGTAATTATTTTATTTCATGTATTTCATAGGTATTTATCAAGATCATTTTAAATCATTTCATTGAATTCAAATCCTATTTTTCCCAAAGTCTATGGAACTCCAGTATAAGATGGCATCACCGTTAATTAAAAACCGACAAAAATAAAAAGTCAAGTAAAAGATATGATGGTAATGTAAATTTAAAGCCATTATTTTTGTAAGGCTTATAGTCAAAGTTTTTGGTAAGTCGTCGATTTCGTGGACTTGAGATTAAACTAAGCTAACACTCAGAGAGATTCGCAGTTTGCTCTATAAATACCGATTGTGACATAACTCGAAAGTTAAGTCTGAGCAAAGTCTAAGTGTGCTCTATAGATCTTGCCCTTAGTGTTCTTAGTGTTCTCCGATGTACTACACTTGCACTTATATTCACTACTTTATTAACTCAAAAGGTTTAGTTCTCTTTTGGCATCTTATTCCTGGTGTGTCAAGAAGTTTGATTGCCTCACCGTTCACATGGCTAATGAATATATAAATAATGTAAGTATAAATACCTTAAAACAATGTTCACAGCGGTAAGGAAAGTTCTTCCACTTGGGATTCTTTTTCCGACTGAATGTCATACGATAAGGTTCAGTTGGGAACCAGTCTTCCGGATCCAAGTAGAGTTCTACTAACTCTACACCTGTAATAATTGTCTTTTATTATACTTTCATATATTAAGGTAACAGTGGTGTACAAACTCTTTAAACTTGTTTAATTCCGTTGACTTCTGACATTTCATATGTGTTGCTACTAAAAAAGTTCTCCACCGAAAAAGGGACAAATTTGACTTATTTGAGGGCAATAAAAAAAATGCTACGTATTTGTTATGTTTTACCTACAAAAAGGTAAATCTAAATACTTATTTAATTACTCAAGTGACCTAATACAAAAATCACAAATACTTCAATAACACAAACAATATATCGAATTACCTTAAATTACTTTATTTTATTCTTTAGCTGGCATCACTGCCTACTAATGCCAGGGTTAGTAAACCTTTTTTAAAAAAATAAAATGTTATCTGTGCTTATGCTCGTGTTGAAATTGAAAAATGTTGCCACCTCCGACATGTCAAATTAAAATGTCTTAATTACTTGAATGCTCCCGAAGTAGTAACAATACTTTACATTTGCTAATTGTAATATTCTACCGCAGCCAAAAGCCCTAAGAATAATTCTTAAGAGTCATAATCTCGAATTACCTGGTGGTAAATTAATGGGTTCGCTTATAACTGGTGGGACAACTTCTGGGATTGGCTCAACTGTTGTCATTGTTGTGTTGTTTGTCGCTAGAAGACTTGTCAGTATTTTGTTTTTTGTTTGCTGTAAATTAAGGTAATTTTATTAAAAATGGCTTACAATGACTTAGCATAATATTAGTAGCTATAATACATGAACTAATTAAACACAGTTGGTACTGTATGGAGTCTCTGACCCAAACCGAGGCATACTTAGCATTATCAATGTCTATCTAAATGACATTGTTTGAAAATATAAAAGAGATGGACATCTTTTAAAAAAAAACAAGCCAATAGTTTGCAGATCAGAAAATCTTTTTGCAGGTCAATCGGAATGAGTTCATGGTACAGAAACTAAAAATCTGACAAGCTTTAGACTGCAAATTAATTAATTAAGAACATAGAGAGTAGAAACTTAATATTGACGAAAATTAAAATACAGTGGAATCCCTAACTCGAACCTCATTAAGTCAAAAAAAGTTGCCATTCCCTTCTGCTGAACCCCTAAATATGCGGTGTCTCGAATTATTTAGACTTCGTAAGTTGAATTTCAAAAAGTAGACTCCGTATGTTGTTAGTAAAATATAATCATGTATTACTTGAAATTCCCCATACTAGTAGCAATAAAATCCAAAATGAATGTTTGGAATCGGGGCTTCTTATCTATTATTTTTGTTTATACACATGCAATTAATGAATCCATTTATTGCATACAATAGAAAAATACACATAGAAATTGCGCCTCTGTAAGTCGAAATTTCAGCAGTTAAATCACATGCATCTCAAAGTTATTGTTGAGGCAACAACTCGTTAACTCAATTTTTTTTTATATTCGAATTATACAGATTCCACTGTATTAACTTTGGCATCAATAAAAGACAATTAACATACCTGTAACACAGTGCCATTAGTAAAACTCTGAGATAGTTCCTTTGGCTTCCGTTTATATCCTTTAGGTGGTCCTCTCTTCTTTGCTACTTCACCATTTTTTTTATATCTCACTACCTCTCCATCAGTCTTAGGCACCGGAGTTATCATCAACTTTGAAGGCAAAGAATATCTACTTTGCAATGACTTCACTACATTATTAACATTAGCAGCTAAATCTAATGGATTTGCTAAATTTAATGGGTTGTTAACAAACTTAGGTAGTGAATTAGAGAGAGTATTTGATGGTATAGGATAAATTGATAGTGATTTTGGTGTATTAAAGGTGGGTATCTGGTATACTTTAAGGTTAAGTTCCGAGTCATATTTAAGTCTTTTGGCAGATGGTTCATCATCACTTGAGTCTGTGAGGTTGTGACTTTCCAAAGGATCCTTTTCATTAAATGGATCCGAATGTAACTCTTTCTCTTGTAAGCAGAACATCTGAAATGAGATTTAATTAATGAAAAATTTGTCTAAATTGTCTAGGCAAAGAAAAGTATGTCAAAGTTATAGTTTGTCAAACACTTGTTTTTTAATAATTTATTTAAATATTTACTAAAGCAGGATAAACTTTCCAAACTTTTTACTTGTTATTCAAACAAAGACACTCTAAATAATGTAAGACAAATACAGATATATCCAGAAATACCATTTCAATAATATCTAATCAGTTTTCTTCTTCTTTTTGTCATATTTATACTTCCCTTTATTGATAATATACAATATTAACAGTTTCAAAACTCTATTAATTAAGTTGATACTAATCAATATTAATAACAAATTGTGACTGAAATTAAACAAATATAACATACACACATTCTCAATGTTTTTAATATATTTTTTGAGACCCACATACACTTAATACATAAGTTATAACTTAAACCCCTAATGCTTACTTTAAGGAAGTTGGAAACTCAATCCAAGTTACAAAATACACGTTTTTCTTATATATACTTTAATTTTATAATTCAAAAGGCATGAATGAATGTAGAAAAAAGTTCCTTTAAATTGTTCGCGTAAGTATATTGGCGATTAGTGATTACTTCAAGCTTTCGGAGTTAAATACTGATGTATAATGAATTTTTATCAATGTCAATCAGAAACTGACATTTTATTATGAAAGTACATAAAAATAACTGTAAATAATGAGTCAAACTTTCCGTCACACGAATAGTAAGGCGACTAACAACTTTTATTAACAATAGATATTAACTAGGACATTTACATAAGAATACAGTTAAAAATGTATACGTACCTTTTAGATTAAGATCAATAATGCCGAATAAATAAAGAAATGGTATCAAAATGGCGTTTATATTAAAACAGATACCTATAATTAACTCGTGAAATACAACACATGCTAATAAAACTTGGGTACCTAGAGAACGAATTAAATTAATTCTATAATATTTATGAATGAAAAACTTACCTTGAGTCATATAATTTGACGGTGGTTGGAATATAATTCCAAACTTAACAATATTTTGCACTATTTCATTCGATTTGTAATGTTTATTGTTAGAAATAAAAGCGAAAAATAAAGGTTATACGCTTAATAATAACAAAAGTACCCCATTATTCATCTGTGATCTGTTCTGACGCTTAGCAGTGTTATCACTCATATTTCCTTAATCTGCAACATATGGTGAATATTTTTAACCACAGATTTTAAAACACGATTTTTTTGAAGTTTAAAACATTATAATGAGTAATCTAAACCATATCACTTTTAAATATATTTTAAAAGGAAAATAAAGTATCGCTAACACAACTTTACCACGGTTTCATACTACTGTCGTCAGTGGTCACACTGCCATGACGCTTGTAAAAAAAGTTCTACCGTTACGTTCAGAAACTGACATGAGCGTTGCTTTTTATAGGGTCGTGTGTACCTAAATATAAAGTAATTTTAAAGTTGTACGGTGACTTGTGCTCATCAAAATATATATCGATAATATTATCTAATATTTGTAACGTAATTTTCGCAGATTTTTATTAGCGTCACTTCATAATACTTTAAAGGATTTATCTAAAACTACGATTCACTATCCAGATATTTATAACAATAATAAATGACAGACATAAAACATGATTCTTATATATATATATATATACAAACTCAAAAAGGTAATGGACAAATCGTTTTAAATAATATAAGTTTTGTGTCTTTGTTTTGCTCCATCTAGTTTATAAATAAAGTTATAGAGGGCGTTAAAACAATTTTAATTCTGAATTTATTTTTATTGTAAAAACAGATGGCGTTAAAATAAATCATGATTTTTGTTTTTATATCTTCTGAGGTCACTTATAATGTTAAGTAATATTATGAGTCAGTACAATTTATCTTAGAATTAAAATAAAATTTGCTTCAATTGGAGCCACTTAACACACTCTAAAGATTATTATTTTATTTTACTATGAAACAACAGAGGGCGCTCCCATTAAGCTAAATTAAAAGTTTTAATGACTAAAACACTATGAAATTAAATAAGGATGAGGTATAATAATTTAATCACACAGCACGTAATGCACTTCCGGTAGCTACATTCCATTCTTATCTATTCCGTAGCTTCAATTTTATTATGTTATTTATTTTCTATATTCGTCTATTTAATTTTTTGTTTTTGATTTCTGTATACCACCATTCCTCACATCTATTTTGTGCTCTATATTAATTCTCAGTTATATTAGGCAATGTCTTATAATTTGAACTTGTGTTTGTAATAAAATATTTAATTTTTTAATGTCATATTTGTTCATTGTTTTATGTTCAATTGTGTATACGTAATTAGTTTTTATGTATGGTGTTAATATTATTATAAGTGTTATAAATAATAATATAATATAATACACTCTCGTGCTTCAAAAAAACTTAGGAAAATGCTAATACAACAGATAAACCACTCAGCCCGGTATTTCTACTATACTTTAATTTATAAATAATTTCATGAGAGTTGGAATGGACTCACACCTCATATTTTTAATTTAAAAGGTTTGTATAAAAACAATAAATAATTTTGATAACCATTTTATTTGTAAACTTAATCTAAATGCCAACATTGAAATCAAATGAAAATTTTGAAAGAAAAAAATAAATTACTAACGACTAGATGACAACGCTATACAGTGACCATTAAAAAATAAAACTTATCACAAACTTGGTACCTTTATGGTCTTAACATATATTTGAGGCTTATCTAAGAGTAAGACCTAGTACCTGCCTACAATTAATTGCAATTAAGGATATTCCATCTAGGTTTTACAATAACTGCCTGTTACGCAAAAATACATGTTTGAATGTTAATTTTACACAATCTGTAAAAATATCTGATCTATTTGAAATATATGTTCTTGAGTGTTTTAAAATGTAATTATAAATTTCTAAATACACATTAAAATTAATTAGCTTCAATTAACAGTAAATATCCTGCACTTAATATCTCATAAATTAATATTTTAAATGTCACATTAACAAAAATAATTTGGTTTAAAATTATTACTGGTCACATTGTTTTGGTAAAGTACACATTGAATACAGACATTTTGAGTTGATTGTCAAAATGGCCGTACCCAATAACTAATATAATCTTACACTATCAATAAATAATAAAGTCAAATCCGAGATACAATAAACATACTGGCTGTTTTAAAAATAGGAATGATTATAGAAGGAAACAACAGAATTGAAAGGAGAGCGAACTTCAAAACACTATTGTAAAGTTATAGGAAAAATATTTATTCATAAACATTTCATATGTATAATTGTACCGTTTAAACAAAAGTACTCTTTCTCTTTTCACCATAGCGTAAACACAGTTTCACAGAAAGAGACAAATAGAGTGCTTAAGTTTAAAGAGAGCAATTAGACTTATTTAGTTTATACAAATAAGAGTTTGTTGATACATTTTTCATTTAAAATTATAATAATGCAATTTTTTTTATAATTATGTTGTATAGTGTTGTAGATACTGCTGAACACAATAAGCATTAAATGATATGCCTAAAAACTTGAGCAAAAAGGAATGGTTAATATCAATTCCTTATTTATCAATGGACTGAAATTCCTGTAACACGACTGTGGATTTTTCTAAACAATTCGGCAATATTTAGCTATGGAAACCGATAATTTTTAGAAGCATCACAACTCTTCACTGCACGGATATTTTAAATTCAAATTTGTAGCTAATACGAAAAATATATCAAATTTAAAAACAAACATTAATCAGTGATTTCTACGAGGAACTCCTAGAAATTCGGTGAAGTTTAGGCGCGAACTGTCAAAATCGAATATGACAGTTGACAATTCCCGCTTAAAATTGTCTCTGTATAGCTTTATTGTATAGTAGAAAATCGTATAATAAATGCAATATCACGAATGAGGACGTCGATGTTGCGGCCTATATGCCCTACGTTTAGTACATCCTAGGAACCCTATTTGCCTAGCATAGCTAACTCTCATAGAAGTTTAAAACCTCGAGTATACCTTAAAACCTAGTGCAATTAAACATTTCACTGAATTTTTATTTCATTATCAAATTGTGCTTTATTGTGTCAAGCTGTCATAGATTAAATATTATAGTAATACTCCATTTATGTGTCCTAAATCTAAATTACTCAAATATATTACAATCTGTCATGGTTTATATACAAAACCTCGTTTTTGGCATTCGAGATTGACAGTGACAACTGTCAAATGACCATAGACTCACGACTTGTAAGTGCGTATGACATCTTTGATCTGTGCTCTACAGAGGGGGCACTGACCTCCCCCTTTGCCCCTCCATTGTTGCACCGCACATCTATAGCACATACACATATGTCCACACATATATAGAACACTATCGATTGGGTTTTCATAGCAGATTGTGCACTCTGTGCCTGTGAGGCCCTCTCCGATGACTGAGTATATTGGTTGGTGGGAAGTGGACGGTCGGCTAGTTGATGGACCATTTTGATATCGGTCCAATCTTATTTCTGTGTGACCGTTTGGTATGCGAACTTGTTCGTTAGAGTTGTTTTGGCTTGTGGAGCAGACTTCTCTTGGACGTTGGTAAGATGAGCAAGTCTGAGATTGAGATGCTATTGGCAGACTTGTGACACACACTTGGGAAGATGATTGGATTGGCTGTAAAAAAAATTATCTTATTAGACATAGAGTATGTAACAGTTTCATATATGTTTAGGAGTACACATTAAAAAATCTACAATCAATAAAGATTGGGAGACTCTTAGGTCACCCATTTTCTAGAAAACTATATTTAAACTGTAAATATTAAATTAAATAACGTGTGTGTACTTATGTACACGCGTTAGAAGGTATACTTCATTGGCATAACAAGATAAAAATCTTTTCAATTTTTTTATCTTTCGCCTTATTCTACGTTTGTAGAAAAAATCGACACTAAAATAACATAATTATACTAAAAACAATAGATTTTTTTTTTACTCTCATCATTTTTCTCTAACGCGCCAAAAGAAATATAACTTCACAAAAACTAAAATGTTGACTATAGTTAACTTCAGGGTGTCGGTTTTTTGTGACGATGTGCGAGCGCATCGTAAAAATTTACTCTCATGAATTTTCCGTAACGCCCTAATTTTTGAAGTATAACTTCAAAAGAAAAACTCACCTCAATGTAATGCGCGCTGGCCAAGGTCATGCCCTGCTGATGGTTGACAGCATTCTGAGCTCCATTTTGAGGTGGAAGACTGACAACCAGCACAGTCCCGCCGTTGGAACCTGCAATTGGGGCTGCAGAACGCGTCAGCACACGCAACTGCTGCGGCGGCGTCTGCGCTTGCATCACTTGTGACGTCAGCATCCTGACTTTCTGAGTCGCGCCATATATATCCACAAACGCCCACAACTTCAACGTATGATCCACGTGCATCACTGTTATAGGCGCCGATCCATTAACGCCAATTCGAACCTCTCCATCAAAGGTGAGAGTGACCGCCAGCTCGTCACCCCTTCTCAGATCGTTTGCCGCATCCCTTCTAACCACCCAGTACTCCGGCCGATCCAAAAGCTGTTCAGCATCATCTGGCAAGTCGCATGTCCGGAGTGTAGCTGGATCGCATGACGTCAGGCCAATAGCTAAACTTCCAGAATACTCTGCGTCTGTAGATAGTATTTGCACGATGATCGTTTGGCCTGGTCGCATCGGGCGAGCTGTGAACACGTAGCCCTGGCAGAATTCGGACGGGACACGGGCAGCGATTCCCCTCTCGTTGACGAACTGGACATTTCTGCCTGTCATTCTATGAAGGTTTAGGGGCGCAAGGGGGTTCTTGTATCTTGGTATTGGCAGTGGTTCCTCCACTGATAACGATCGCATGCTGCCTATTAACCTGTCTTCCACAACGGGTGAGACGTGAGTGGCTTGGGGCATTCTTGGATCTACGTATTGTACGGCTGTGCAGTTGCCGTAAACGTCTACCAGAGACCATAGAGGGCTTCGGGTGTCCACGTTGGAGAAAAAGCAGCCCTTGTCTTCGCCGTTGATTCCGAAGTGAACGTCGCCATTGGACGTGACATAGTAATGTAATAGGTTGTCTTTATCGTAGAACCTCTCCCCTAAAGCCTTTGCCCAACTGCCTGGTTTGTTGGTGAGGTCCGGACAAGCGTATTTTGGTATCGGATGAGGCAAAGTTTCTGGATTGTGGGAGGTGAAGCCAAATCTGATGACGCCACTCCAACTGTCCGATACTTCGATGAATCGAATGCAAATCTGAAAAAAATAACAATTAGTTAGTTTGGAGTTAATGTAAAATTAGTATTCTGTATTTCTTTATTGACGTTCATCAGTGTACATTGTGTTAAGAAGCGTTCAAGTATTACGTCACGCAATTATTGACACCCCCCTCTATTTTACGCGCCGTAACGTTTTCCTGTACAAAAGTATAGTAAAACGTTTCGTGACCACCTAGTGACTCTTTATACCTAAAAGTTACCGCCCCCGCCCCGCATCGTAAGTTAATCCCCGCCCCGCATCGTAACGTTGTACAAAAGGACCCCCCCTCCCCCCAACTTTGATTATAGAAAACTAAATCTTAAAAAGGCAATCACTGCGAATCTTTTTTCTAACAAGATGTATTACCTTTTCATTAACTCGCACAGGTCTGGCACTAAACGCGACGCCCTTGCAGAAGGATTCGACACGCCGAGCAATACTTCCATCTCTGGAGATGCGAATGTTCTCACCATGGACAGAATGGAAGGTCAGCGGTGGCAGATTGTTCGGCGTTCCACCAGTACACGTAGTCCGGGGAGCTGTAACAAAAGAAAATAAGTTAGTGGGTTCATTTATTATTTTATATGTGTGCTATTGTTTATACTTGAAAGGAGTATTAAGAATATCCATAGCGCTAAACCCGAGGGTACTTCCACACCATCACAAAATACAGCCAAATTAGGTATAAATTAGTATTTAATAACTTTTAGTGATTTTTTCCTTTCGTAAATGATGGAACATTTACGAATATGTATTATATTATGAAATTATCCTTTTTTTATAATTGTTTCTTTTAATATATAATTTATGTTAGCGAATCATGTTACGAAATAAATAAATTAAGTATTAGTGCTATTTATTTTTTATTATTAACTGTTGTTTTTATTTTGTCATATAAAATCAATTATTCAGCTATCGTGAGTCGATTATTCTATAATATAGCTATTAATTATTAAGGGACGTATGTAGTATTTTGTCCAAAATATTTAAAAAAAAGTGAGTAATATTACTTTGGCATATAGTTCACTACAAAAACCGTTTTAGAGTTTTGTTACAAACACGGGAATTATATAGAGATTTCATTATTAAAACCTTACATTATCCCTGAATAATACTATATTTATTTATAATTATAAATAAATAATATGCCTAATTACTTGTTGGCATTAAAGAAACTCTTAAGGAAACCAGCGGCTAGAATTGACTATATCTTAATATATATATTTCTTGTGTGCGTGTGTATGTGACTGAACTCCTCTCAAACGACTGGACCGATTTTGATGAAATTTTTTTTGTTGTTCAAGGGGATCTGGGAATGGTTTAGATTCACAAATCAGCCCGGCAGATGGCACTGCAGTCGGTACTTTCATACTTTGCTTAATATCCTAATCGCTTTAAATATCATGCAGGACAACGTCTGTGGGGTCCACTAGTATTTATATAAAACTCATGCGTTCAGCGGTCTGTAGTCTGTAGCCACTGAATATATCTGTGTACTTATGGCATTTGCAGCCAAATTCTTATCGTATTCCCCTCATTTACCCAAGTGTCATAGATAAAAGCTCCCCCAAGTTAAACTCAAGATGGCTGCCACCTGCGCGGCAGATGCGCTGTCAGCTTGCATTGCCGCCATTTTCTAGCACTTATGATTTTAATAAGACAATAATTTAGGATGTATTATAGTTTATTAGAAATTATTAAAAATAATTTATATCGCTGTTAATTTGAATTTTTAATAGTTTCTAAACTTACGTAAACTTTAGATATAACGATTTTCGTTAATAACATGCTTTCGTCTTTGTCTGTCATAATAATAATGAATTAAGTATTTTTTTAAAATTGTTATTCGCCTGTGGCCAGGCCAAAGTTTTTAGACCATAACCGCCTTGAATTAGGTATATTTTTGTTAATTTCCCCTATCCAGAAATATTTAGCAAAGTGCTAATTAAATAGACAAGAGCTACTCAGCCCGCTATTTTTCTATCAATAAATATTAAGCTTAACGAAAACGCTTTGATTAAACCGCGCCTATAAGACACCACAGACAATTTAAATGTAGAACATTTGTTATTTAGTGAATATGTCAAAAAGCCCGCGTTACAAGATGGCGTCGTCAAGATAGGTCTTTCATTATAAATTACACTTCCTGGATATTTGTTCTCTGTAAATAGGGGAGGAAGCGACACGTGCGACGACAATACCCAACTGTGGGGTAAAAATCATAAGTACTTCCCGCTTATGCAAATGTTGCCACTTAATTAATTCCTAGTACTAATTAGTTAATGTAGTACATGCTTGAACTTTTGATTCGCGAAAGATTAAAATATATGTATTATTAAAAAATATTGCCTAAAATAGCACCTTTTAACTGAATAGATTTATTCTCATAGGATTTTAGAAAAAAAAACACTAAGGGGAAATCTCACCTGGTGAGAGGGTGGACTCACTTCCGACGGAAGTAGATCCGTAGATTTTGAATTTCGACCCCAAAATGGGATGTAATTCGATATTTAAAGTACGTTAATGTAACAATAGATACTGAGATAGTATATGTACAGATGCTATATAAGAACGTTACCTACCACAGACAATAAAAATATGTGTTCTATTGTTTACAATTTTTGAATTTGGAATCATGATAAACTTTTGAATACTGAAATTTTCTGTACTACCTACTTAATAGAACAAAGCGGTTAGGCACTAACGACCCTTTTTAATAAACGTGATTAATCACAATAGAAAGTGCAACCCTCGCCCTAAACGCTTAAAATTCATTATAGTGTTGCTAATATTAACAATTAATTTGGCCACGTGCCTACACCTAATATAGATATTGCAACACTGGTATCTATTAATGTTGCTATTTATAAAACCTTTAATAACCCTTGACTTTTCAAACTAAACGATTTTGGATTAAATGTTGGTCTTATTACTTTCCTCGCTGACTTCTCCAACTCTCTGAATTCCTCCAAATCAGCTATGGATATACAGAGAACAAGTGTGGAGGATTCTGAAGTCTGAACAGTTCCAACCTTCCAACCAAACCAAGACAGGATCCTCGACCGTAGTATCCACCTACTAGACCTAAAACGAAAACCGAGAAGCTGTATATAATATATATGTACAGCTGAAAATACTTCGATAGCGCGTTTTAATGTGTGACGTCATCGTTGTTATGATTTTGAAGGGAGTAAAACAGCCCCTCGTGCAATCGGCTGAAGCCACTAACCACTTAGTTACCTTAGTGTCATAGGTGTGGAGGACGGTGCTGATCTACCCTTAATCAGTCTAATCTCTGACTAGCCTTAAGAAAGATGTATATATGCTTAGCTGGAAATACTTCGTTAGCGCGTTTTAATGTGTGACGTCATCGCCAAGACTGCAGATTTTTGTTACATAGAAAATATGAAAATAAACCACAGAATTACAAAACAAACAGTGTTAAATGTCGCGTTTTGCGTCACTGTCTTCCTGGTGCAGGCTATATTTACTATTTGACGTCATGAGTGCACTAGATCTGATAATAGATGCATCTGTCGATAGCGGCGCTATTCTCGTTAGAAGTTTTGCATGGGCATATTTGGAACAAAAGCACTTGATTATTCGCTTATAATAATTTTATTTAAGCGTATGTGTACATGAACACAAGAATATCAAATATCACTTATTTACAGCCAATTCAAATTAGGGGCTTAGAACACACTATATTTTTGTATAAACACTCGAGCATGGGCATATTTGGAACAAAATGCATATATTTTTGAAATATTAACGCGAGTTACGTAGTATTACAGTACGAGAGTTAATAATTCTATAAATATTCCAATACGGAAGTTTATAAAAAGTCATAACACTCCACTGAACACCCTTCAATAACAATTCCTGTCAGGATGCGCACGCGCCGAGCCATGACTCCTATTATTCGTGACGCAATCATAGGCCATACGTATATTGTAATACTCATAGTCCTACTAAAGATTTTCTTGGCCATAATTTTGAGTCTAAATTACCCGGCCTGACATACGAGAGGTCATCGCTCAGTTTTTTTATCGGATAATGGGGCGGACGGACCCATTAAGGGCAGTCACCGGTTCACCCATTTTGAATTTGTCGTTGCCGGCCTTTGAAGGAGTATGCTCATTGAAAACCTCCACCGGGAGCCATTTCCACAGTGCGCTGGTCTTATCACTGACAATTGACTTGAATTGAATGTTTTAATAGGTTTAATATATCCACAGAGCAATGCAAACTACCATTTTACCGAATAGTTTAAAAAGGTTTTTAATTTTTCCACAGAACATTGCTAAATATAACGTTGACAATTGTCCAACATCAATATCCCTTTGCGTGACGAAATGTCTATGAACATTCGCTTAGGGTTCGGCCCCTACATAGGAGGGGTGAATACCCATGCATCTATCACCAAATATAAAACAATTGTCTACCACCAATGTAGCTCTAGAATTTGTCTTTGGAAAGCGCTTAACAATTTAGCCATAAATAAAAATTTAGTCGATAAAATATAAATTAATAAAACCCGCGCGTTTCCTTCCGCTCGCTCTAGTATGCCCGAAGTTCGCGTAAAATAAGATAATACAGTATTTCGCGAAACAAATATGAAGTGAACGCCAAATGCTTTTTTTATTTAAATAACTTGTAAAATATACATTCCTACCAATATTATAAACGCGAAAGTTGGTAAGTATGGATGGATGTTTGTTACTCTTTCACGTAAAAACTACTGAATGGATTTTAATGAAACTTTACAATAATATAGCTTATACTTCAGAATAACACATAGACTACAATTTATAAAGATATTGTTTGTATTTTCTAAACTATCAAGTAAGTAGGAAAAACCTACCATCTGCGAGCTTATTCTGGCATGCGTTACCAAAACCGCTAGAGTTACACATATGTAATTAGGATCATTGAAAATAAAAGGATCAATACATATTTATTGTTTTTAAAACATACATAGGTAAAACCAAATCTACGTTGAGTGATTTCGGTAAATCCCAGCTTTTAAAGTAAAATTTATAACTACTTTCGCTTTAAACTTTCGTGTAGCAAAGCTTTTAGTTCTATTAATTTATAAGCTTCGAAAATAACCTCGTACATTGAACCACGGTTAATATCAACAAAGTTATCTTAACATCTGTTTAACTAACATATTTTTATAATTAAAAACATATATTCTATATTAAGACGAGTTAAACTAAGAGGTTCATTGTAACCTAAAAGGGCAAGGACTTTTTTTTATAGAAAATACTTCAGCGGGCAGCTGGTTCCACATAGTGGCGGTAAAAGTTTAAAAAACGCTCAGTTGTGGAAGGGACGTCGAGGTGATACGCGTGGAATTTCGTTTTCAGCCTCCACGTCTAATGATGTCCAGTAAATAAAACAGTCTATTTATTTTTAGAGATAATTTAATAGGAGTTAAAGTCGGGCGTGAAATGCTCGCCATCTGTGGCCCGAGGGAGTCTCCCTTGGTATAGCTATTTAATTATGAAGGTCAACTTCTATTAGATTGACAAAT